GACAGCCACCATTGGCCTACTCAGACTGTGTCATGTATACAAATGTAATAACCCCTGTTTTAATATATATCCACTCTGCTGGTTCCATTCTTCTAGAGAACTCTAATACGCTGATATTCAATTCTAAATCCAGATTAAGAAAGGATGTTGTAGCCAAAACAATGCATGGCTCTCTGGTGAAGGTATTAATCCTGTGGGTACAAGTATTCTCATATTCTGATGGCTCCAAAATGTATAAATATTCAAGTAAGTGTGGCTTATACAGCAAATGTTATTAAACCTTTAATGTCTTTTTAAAAATAAGTGCTCATGAAGCATCATTGTGATGACTTCCTGTCTAATATTTTAGGGAAGACACACTTACCTCTTTTCTGTGATGCTACTACCTGTAGTGTTTCTTGATATGATTATCTAAGTCTTTATCAATCAGTACATCCGTGAGATATACTGCCAAGGAAGCAGAATTCAGTGACAGCTTGCAAGCTTTTATTACAGGCAACAGTGTTTGGCTGTGGAGAGTTTCCTTAAGTAAACTGGCAAAGGACTGAGGTTTTCTGAGACAAGTTTTCTGTTCACCTGTTTTGTTGGCCCTATGAGCTAAGCAGTATTCATTTGTATGTAATGGTTTTAGACTATAGAACATGAGCACACAATGTGCTTGAAAGGTGGATCTTGGGGAAAACAATTCACTGAATTACAAAATAAAAATTGCTATACTGAATGGAAACCTTTTAACTTGTTGACATTTACTGGGTTGAAGTTATCTTTATGGCATCTGTGTGGGAAACTATGTATATAGGGTTTTTACTAAATCAAGTGTTCTTAAAATCTGAGCAAATTATGTATCGACAAATGGATAGTAGTTAAAAATAAATTTTTCCTATTAACTTGTGAGAGTTTTTTTTTAAAAAAAAACCTTTGCCAGGATCCACTATTAGTATGTTAGTTTGATCAACATTAGTACATGTGTTTGGAAGTAAACTAAAGCATTTCCTTGAAAATACTGTTGTTTTTAAGTTAGACATTCACAAATTTAGGCTGGCCCTCCTTCAAATACTATTCTTGGTTTGAATAAACTCTTCTCTGTATGTTTCTTGCTGGAGCAGAGCACAATGTGAGAGTCTAAATTTCCTGCTCATTCTTATGTGGTTTGGAGTCATTCTGCTTCATTGTGGCAGGCACAGAGAAGATGAACTCAGAGCTCTATTTCCAACAACATCAGTTATTAAAACCACAGGTAAAAGCCACCAGATGACAATCCTTAGATTCACCACAGAGTTCATTCAGGCCATAGTTTCAAGCTTCTCCTAACCTTTGCACGGGCACAATAAATATCATAAAACTTGTTGTTGCCCTGTCTGTACTACACCACATGTTATCATTGGCAGAATTCCATTGTAGGCATGGAATTCCACTGGGCAGAGTGTCCACAAAAAAGTCACCTCCCAGAAAAAGAAATACAGAATTGGGCCAGGTGTGCAGTATCTAAGTGGTGCATATCGTGTTATTTAAATGAAGCTAGCCAATCAAAGTCATATGTAAATCAGTAGCTCAGAAGAGATTATGCAAGGGTGGTCATACCTCAGGATATAGGCATAAATGATGTATCAGATATCTATATATGACACATATTAGGAAGAAAACATGGATCTGAGAATGAAAGGCTGAAAGTTACATTGGCCAAGAGCCTACTAAGGAAACCTCTTCTTTGCCTCTCACAAGTTTTATCAAAATATTTCTAGGTCTAGGTTTTCAAAGAGGGCTGACCAAGGATTCATTGAACTTCAGAATACAGAGTTACTTTAGGTACTCTGCATGCATGGACCTTCACGCTGGAGTAACTGGTTATGAAGTGGAGTATGGATTCTCAATACACCAGGGATAAAGTCACCCACATATGGAACCCAGATGATTCACTTGATTCCCTTTTTCAATTGAACCTGTGAAATGACACATGCAGCAGACCAAGACTGAAAAGAATCTACTGCACACTGGCTGAGACCCATTAGGAATGGCAGGTATACCAATTAGAACAATATGCTTAAGTGATTGCTGAGGTTGAAGGGAATGCAGAGTGGATAGAAACAGATGTACCACATGGACAGGTGAGGATTGAGATGAACTGCAATAACAAATGCTCCCACTACTCCAGGTAACCTCCACAGGTCAGTCTTAGATAGAAGGGATTACAGACATCATGGAGCAGCTAGATGACCACCATATTTAGCAAGTGTTTTAGATTCTTACTGCTTTTAGATCTACTACGAAGGCCACACCAGGCCAGGCCAGACTTTTCCTGCACTGTTCTCAGACAGAGTGAGTACAAATGAGATAGAACTATGCCATTGGAAGTTCAATTTCAGTTCTTTTAATGGACAACTTTGGCTTAGGGTAAAGGTTTGTATTAGAGAGAGGGAGAGAGAGAGAGAGAGAGAGAGAGAGAGAGAGAGAGAGAGAGAGAGAGAATACATTTGGCATTGTTATACTAGGTCATCCAGGAAATTCCATGAGTTGAAAGAACTATGATTGAAAGTTTTGAGAATTTTTTTCCCAAGGGGTAAAGTGCACAATACCAAGGATAATATAAGAATTGCAGGGAAAAGCCGGAAAACCCTCTCATAACTGGCTGACCTTGGTAAACGGCCTCAGCATATTATCCCCTCACTTACAGAGAAGCCTCAGTATATACACACTATAATAAATATGTTGGGCAAGTCTATCCTTGCTCGAGGCTAAACACAGAGAAACAAATCATAATCCTTAACATGCAGCTTTAGGGTGAGCAAGTTATTTTCTCACCCCTTCTTGAAAAGTAGCAAGGAAAATTAATTTTACATGGTAGAAAATTTAAAAATGAGTCTTTGAGGCCTTGATATTTATTTTATCAAAGCACCCAACATGTTAATTACTGATAATTCACACAACTTTCTAAAATTAATGATAAACAGCCAGACTAACCTTCCTGGTATTGCTAGTATTTTTAGTGGCTTTTCCTGAATCTAGTTAACTGGGCATCACCCTGACTATCCAATTTGTCTTCCTCTCTAACCAACATAACCTCTCCACTGGTAACGCTAACCTCTTCATATCTTTGTTTGAAGATGTATCTGTTTCTTCCGTCCTTAACTTTCAAGTCCTACCCTACTCTAACTACCCTTCAGGTCAATGGACTCAACTCCCAGTGATCTTGTCATATGTATTACATAAATTGTTACTTTCAAATTTTGATATGTTCTACTATGAATGATTAATATGAATGTTTTATCTCTAACCAGACCCCAACATCTCAAATACTTAATTAATTTGGTAAATAATTATAATTGCAGTATTTTGACACACATGATTATAATACTGATACTCATAGCAAATTATCAATGCCATGGTGACCCATACCAACTATTTGGAGCCAATAAAAGCATTTGTAGCATGGTAAAACTGATTGCTTATGTGTATCTGACACAATATGAGGTGTCTTACACATACTAACTTTAATTCATGACATTGTTAGCATTTCTCATGGTTTTCTTTAGTAACCCATATCTGTCTATTCGATTATATTGGCTCTGTTTTTAAAATAGCAATCTTTTTATGTTTCACCAAACCCATCATTTTTTTTTAGATCACATCATCTCTCCTGGAACATTAAAATAGATTTCTTCCGTAATACATATGTTCTCAACACTGTAGTGTTATAAAAACCTGTAGTCCTTATTAAACCTTCAACCAACCATACCTGTGCTATAAAGTCTGAAATGGCCTATGACATCTTGCATGATCTTTCCTCTCCACCACTCAGACTTCATCTTCCATCACTCATTCTGTTTACTCTTTTCCAGTTACAGTAATCTGCCCTGTTCTTTTGTCATCAAACTTGGGGTTCACAACCTGTGCCCAATTCATGTCCTGCCAGCAGTCTTTAATTAAAATCCAATTAAAAGAGCAAGCTGAAAAGTAGAAATCAGAAAGGGAGATTTATTCAACATGAATACATTAGGCAGATGGATTTTGGAAGTTCACTGGATCTCTTTGAATATATATATATACATACATATATATATATTGTGTGTGTGCGTGTGTATTATATATGTATATTTTGTATACGTACACATAATATATTGAATAATATATTTTATATATTTGAATATATAATATATTCAAAGATATATATATATATATGCTAAAGGCAGCTTAACTCACCAATAAAACCTACCTGAACATTCTATTTTTGCATTATTTTTTCTCTCTACCTGTGATAATTCCCCATTTGGGAGGGAGGTACAGTTTTTCACTTTTTAACATATGATTGTCGTTTGAACTGTATAGCTTATCACCTGCTTTCTTCCTATAACCCTACACAAATTCCCCGTTCATGAATGTAGGCATGGTGATGTATATCGTACACCAGTTGATCCCAGGAGCTCTAAACAGTGCTTTGTACATTTAAATAACTGAGTAAGTATTGGCAAATGTATTTTAAATTACTTTCTTTCTGCTTTCTGGAGTGTAGTTTTTCAGTTTCTGTACTGGGATAATGCTTAAAAACAGTACAGGAGGCAGAGGTCACGTATCCTCATTGATTCAACGGGGAGAAATGCAAACCTCAAAGTTAAAAATGTTTGCGTGTTAATAATTTTCTTTGGTGTGTGTGTGTGTATTTTCTTGGAGTTGACTAGGAAAGGAGAGAGGCTAATCCCCTTTCCAGGGCAGTGTTTCAAATTCTGTAACTTATGAACTTGAATTTACTACCCAGACAATCCCAGCACCCTCAAGCGGCTTAACAAGGACCATGCCCTTCCCCTGGCAGCTTCACTGCCCTTACTTAGGTGGTTAGGCTATGCCTAAACTTTTTTCTTTTCTTTAATCCTGAGTTGCGTATCCATGTAACAGGAAATAGGTGCTAAGACTACCTATCCTCCACACCCGGGTGTTCAACAAAGTGCTGAAAGGGCAGTAGGCATGCTAGCAGGCAGGCAGCGCAGCAGACACCTGGTCGAGGACCGCGCGAGGAGGTCCTGCTACCACATGGTCCGGGGCCTGGCTTCTGTGGTTACCGCACGCACCCGCACTGAACACAGAATGAGGGTCGCGGCCCTGATCAGGTAATGAGGAGTGGGGCCACCTCTTTACTCCTGGGCAAGGCTATATCCTGACGCGGCTACTGTAGGAACGACGGAGCCACTTCTTGGGGCGCCGCGGCGGCGGGTCGGCGCCCCGGCCACCGGAAGAGGCGGGGCGATCTGCTGCTCGGGGCCACTGTCCTGGCGTGCGCTTTCTCACTGTCGTCTTGGCAAAGCTAAACTGCGCTAACACATGGGTCTTCCTCCGCCTTGGGCGCATGGTCACGACGCCTGTTGGACTTTTATTCGTCCTGAACCCTGACATCTGCTGTTAACTTCATTTACTTGTTTGCAGTTTTCGTCCTCTATAGTTCCCTTCAATCTTACAGATCATTCCTAGTCTATCGCTGACTTGATCCGGCCTAGGAATGAGGAGTGCAGCCTCACTCCCTAGTTTTCAGGGATGGCCATAGGATCCCTAGATGATTTGAGATTGCTTTGCTCATGGGTGTTAAACACCTCCATTGGAACTCAAGCTACTGACAGATGTATTCCCTCCTGGTTGAGCTGAAAATACGCTAGGTGTTTGCTATATGATTTAGATTGAAGTTGCTTTGGATACAAAGAATTTGCCATACTGACCTTGGGCAACGTAGACCTTATTCCAAAAGTAGTTTGAAATCTATAGTAACTTACTTAGAACTCCACATACTGTAGCTGATACGCAGAGCTATCCCTGAACTGTTTTCATGCCTGAAAGTGATAAGGGACATAGCACTATTAATTTAAATCCCTTACACATATTGTTTCTTGAGATTTAGACTTCAGAAAAGTGTGAGTTACACCACATTGCTACAGTCTCCCCCACCCCCCACCCCCGCCCAGTGAAGCATACATAAATATTTTTTGTTAATGCCCTAGGTAACCTGACGCTAGTTGACAGTATTTTATTAGACTCCAGGTAAGCCACATTTCAGTTTCTCTGTAGTGACAAGAAAATGCCACAGAAATGCCATCTGTTGATTCTGTGCCATTTTAAGGAAATGAAAAGCCACCATAATTCAATAAATGTTATGAATAAAGAGAATGATGAAGCTTTAACTATCATGATTATTTGGTGAAGAGAGAGAAAAATTAAAAGTAAGCCAGGAAGGTACTGATGAAATTTAGTTTACCAAAACTCAGCAGTGGCGTAAAACATGTGAAACTGGAGAGGAGAAAGGATCAGTGGAGATTGTTCCTCAGAGTACTCAGTGGATAGGGATAAAGAGATGCTGTGTTACAGTTTTTAAGAACTGTATATTAGGAAATAAGAGTGCACAGAACAAATATACATACTTAGGTGTACTGTGTATAACATGGCAATATATTTAAGCTTCAGTGTGATAAATCTGTGTGCATTGTGTATACATATACATGTATTTGAATTTGTGTGTATAGTTGATAGGATGTAAGTGTATTTCCAGGACAAAATGAAACACATTTTTATATATCATTAAGTGAAAGGCTAAAGTACCTCAAAAAATTGCACTGTTGAATAAAAGTTTGAAGATTATTTAAGCAGGCTACTATAAGTTTATATTGAAGCATACAAACCCAAATATATTGTGATTACATCGTCTGCTTTTGGAGCTCTCTGCCCTAACTGGGCTGCCTTGTCTAGTCTTAAATAAGAAGGTGCACCTAATCTTATTGAATCTTGATATACCAAGGCTGGTTGATATCCATAGGAGGCCTCCCCATTTCTGAAAAGAAGGAGTGGGGTGGTGGGTGGGTAGGGCATCAGAGAGAGGAACTCAGAGGAGAGGAGGGAGGGGAATCTGGCATAGGGTGTAAAGTAAATAATTATCATAATGATAATTAATAAAAAAAGATTCTTTGCTCTTGAATGCTTTTTGTTCTTTGAGTACTCCGTGTTCTATAGAACATAGCTTGGGAAATACTTTTAAAGCATATTTAAAGAGTTGGAATATTTTAAACCATAGAGTTAAGAGGTGACTATGGATGTTCACCCTAGAATCTTTAATATATTATAAAACATTGTTTGTTTGTTTGTTTGTGTGTTTTGGGGAGAACATAGTAATAGGATCCAATAAAGAAAGTTTTGAAGACCTACTTAGGTGCATCTGAAAAGAAGAGTCCTGGGCTTTATAATATATGTCTTTGCCCTTTCCATTCTCTTCCTTGTAAGGAATCCTGCAGTGTAGTTGTCTAGGCAGCAATGGCTGAAATACTGAGTATACTAAGGCTTGATGATTGATGTATGTCAGCATTTGGATTTTTATTGTATAGAATTTAGAATCAAGTATATCACAGTCTATTATATAGTTTGGACTCAGATTTTTTTATATCTGAATATCATCCTTTGATGAGTATTGGTAGCTAATAGGTTTCATGTAGTTAGAACACTTTCAAAAATGTTTTACTTTATATTATGCATGTATATCTGCACACCACTTCCTTGCTTATGGAATCCATAAGAAGGAATTGGATCCCCTGGAATTGGGTGTAAGGTGCCATGTGAGTATTTAGGATTGAAGACTGGTCCTCAGAAGACCAGTCAATAATCTTAACTACTGAGACATCTCTGTAGCTCCTAGATTTTCTTTTATTTAAAGACTTTCATCTAAGGAATATATGAAATAAGTGTTTAGATATCATTCTGGATAATTAATTATGTGCACACCACTTTTATATTAAACCACGGTTAACATATATACTTTATTTAGAACTTCTGTATTGTAAATGCATATAATTTCATAAATTCCTAGAAGTAGCAACTTTAGACATTGAGATTCATTTGCTCAGTGTTCTCCCCATTTACAAATGTGTGTCTTACTGCACTGTAATTGTGAAATATTCCCTTATGGATTCTGAAAAGCAGAGTAAGATTGTGTTTGATTTTGATGTCTGGTGATTCTGTGTTTAATGGTGATCAGAGGCCTGGCATTCATACCCTTTTCTCCACTCACTTGTTTTATAGTGGTGGGAAGGACAGCTGTTACAACATGATGCAGTGCATTGCTGAGGGACATCAAATTGTTGCATTAGCAAATCTAAGACCAGATGAAAACCAAGGTAAATGTATGATTTTTTTTTTATTATTCTCTGAATAGTTGCAACTCAACTTCATTATTTCAGGTTGGTAAGAAACAGTCTGCTTTGTTGGTTCTTTGTTTACAATATATGAATGTTCCTATTAAAAATATGTCCTTAGCTCTCTTAGATGTAGTGAAGCATTCAAGGCTTGTACTCACCCATAGATTATGAGCCTCTTGAGAAGAGATGTAGTACCTTAGACTTTACTGTGGGTGCTTCTCAGCTCTTTAAGCTCTGCACCTGTGGTAGGTGTTCACTCACAGTTTACTGATAGACCAGTGAGTATTGAACTCATTTGAGTTAGCCAGTGTACTTCTGTTGGATAGTTGAACAATTCTGAAAATGATGTGGAAAGATGGAACTTGGGAGTATTTTATAGGAAGAAAGGCAATGGGCTTACAAAAACATGGGGGTGAATTTATACTTTAGGATTTTACACTGGGCTTTGATGATGATGAGCTAGGGTTTAGAAGTCAGCGTTTTCTGAGAAAGACTCTAGTCCTAACTTGAAATTTGTAGGACCACTGCTGCTTTTACTGTAAAGGAGCACAATCAGTTACAGATTGTGCCGTCCATCCCTTACATCAAGTTGGGCAAGTGAGTTGTCATCTGACTTGAGAATTCTCAGTACTGAAAATGAAACAAAACAAACAAACAAACAAACAAAAACTTATGTTCTCAGGATGTGTAATGCATATATAAAGTCATTTTCCTCTTTTGAGTCCAGCTTTCAATTTCAGTATTAGTTTATTGTAGGAGGAGCTAAGGTGGGAGGAGTAAGGAGAGGAAGAGGAGGAGTTGGGATTGGAAGAGAAAAAAGGAAGAGGAGGAGCTAGAGAGGGCAGAGATGTAGGAGGATGGAGAACCACACAGGTATGGAGAGCACTCGTGGGGAACAACTTACAAACTTATAATTAAGCTAGCTAATTGGGATACAACTTTGTATGGGCATCTTGTTATTAATCATTATCAAACATATAAAGCCTTTGATTAATCTATAAGAATTAGAGTCTCATTCTCTTACTGGGCCTGCATAGATGGTGGAATGGTCTAGGCAATGCCCTGCCTTGCAGAGACAGAGTGGAAGATTTGCAGAGCCATCTCTCACGTTGGCATCTAGTGGGTGACATGGCTGGTGTTTCTGGCGGGCTGGTTCTAGCTGCAGCGTGCACGTGGCCTCAGGCCGAGAAACATGGCAGCTGGGCTAGGCAGAGCCATTGCAGTTTAGATAGTTAGATGAACCAGAGGCCAGTTTTAAATAATTACCACAACAGTTTATTATGATAATATCATTATTATATAATCTCCGATGTGTTCATTTTGCTGGCAGAACAGTGAAATAAAAAGCAAATACATCTTTTAAATTATACTTATTAATAGAATGAGGGCATTTATTAGAATATTATTAGTGTTAAAAATTCAATAATAAATGCAATAGAATATTATGAATTAAAAATTTGGGCTATCATCTGACACTGTGTAATTGGTGTAGAAGATAATAGATTGTGTGGATCAGTAGATGGACAGGGCTGGTTAATAGTGATTTAAAGTCAGCAGGATGTTGGAACTGTTGAATGAGTTACTGAATGATTTTTCTCCCTTTAAATGCACTGAAAGGAACCTCACTGAGGAATGCATGGCTCCATTGACAAGCAAAGCTGGGTATAATGTATTCACAACATATCATGATTTTCACAATATGGGTTTTCAGTAGGTACTCTGGGAAAGAATTTATTCCCATCAGTGAGATAATGTGCAGTTGTCATAAACTGTACAGAACCATCCCTTTAAGTCTATAGTAGGAGCTTTGTGGTATGTTAATTGAAGTGCTTTAGGCAACAATGGAGCCTTTTGGTTTTGTTTGCTCTTACACCAGTTGCTGCTGTGTAGCTTCCTCTAATGAAGTTATATTGTGGTAAGGACTCCATGGAGCCCTAATGAAAATATATCAGGTTTTAAAGCCATTATACTATTTCGTAGTTGTATTAATTTCAGGATGTTTCTTGCTATGAAGCTCAAGTTTCTTTGAATAAATTTATTTGACCAATATCTTTTAGTGAAAATACATTAAATACTCACTCTAACTAACTTGGTAGAAAGGAAGAGTGAAAAGTTTTTAGGGTGGTTTGACTAAATCTCTGTTTTATATTGGCATGAGGAGTCAGCTTACAATAATGACGAGAGTTTTGTTTGGTAGGAAGCCAGGCAGCTGTGGGGGTCAGAAATATGATGAGCCCAAATGAGGTGGCGTATGATGATGTCACTGATTGTTGAATGATATTTACACTGTTATTTATTCCCTTTGATTGAATGTTTCCACATTTGAAAACATACATTTTGTAGTGTATTATTTTGTAACTTAACATATTGTCAACAGACTCAATGGCACTAAATAGTAGTCTCCTTATAATTTGTCCTATATCTTTTCTGTATGAAACGTAAGTGGTGTAAAGATCATTTGGAGAGGTAATTCATATCTGTCCTCTTATTGGAGGAACTGAAAGCATATAAGTCTGAAAAATTTCAACAGAGTCATCTACTTAAAATTATTCATGTACATACTTTTAAAACTTACTTGACACATGATCTTTTACCCCCTCTTTTAAATATTAATATCTTATAGAATTTGTATTCTGGAGAGCACACTTTGTAAAATGCATGACATTTTATTATATGACTGTAATATAGTTCTTCTTCTTCTTCTTTTTTTTTTTTTTTAACAAATAATTCTATAATGAGTGCTCTACCTATAATAATATGTGTGGAACCTTGAGGTAACTGATGATTGTATCTCCTATTAGATTCAGTTATCCTGTTTCCAAACATATTTGTATCTGTTCTAACAAATATTGAAGTTACATGTATATGCTTTGTTGATGTATTGATTATAAAACATACCAATTATATCTAATTTTTTCTACCAAATATGTATCACTAAGAAGATAATAATTTAAGAAATTTTTTTATTAAAAGTCTAGATGATTTTGAATAACCTGAATGATATGTAATACAGTTTCTAATTGAATAAACTAAAAATGTATGGGATACACTACAGTTATTTTTAAATGTTGTATATAATTTTAAAAATATAAATATATTGTTGATAATTAGAAACAAATTATTAGAACTGAAGTAAATTTATCCATGGACAAATGCGCAATTCTTATATGTTATTTCCCATATGAAAGCAGGAGGATATGGTTAAATTCTTAAGCTTATTGTTGACTATTCTTTAAGTAGTAAAAGCTACTTCTTAAGGTCTGTTTGTTTTACTCTGTCTTAGTAACTATTTTTCCTTTATCTGTTACAGTGGAGTCAGATGAACTGGATAGCTACATGTATCAGACAGTGGGTCACCATGCCATTGACTTGTATGCTGAAGCAATGGCTCTACCCCTGTACCGCAGAACCATCAGAGGAAGGAGCCTGGAGACAGGAAGAATGTATACGAAATGTGAAGGTGATGAGGTTGAAGATCTCTATGAACTATTGAAACTCGTTAAGGTATGCAGAGTTATCCTTTTTGAACTTTGTAGTTTTCACTTATTGAGTTATTTAATATTAAATAACTTGCAAATTTTCATAGCACAGCTATTTTTTGAGAGAATATTTTATCTTTTGGGTAGAAGTAACAAAAAATTTCTTAATGTCTTTATATTAGACTACAGAAAAATAAGACATTGGGTATAGATTTATGTCTAGGCCTGTCACATGCTTTTCTTCATTTTTATTTTATTTTATATGTATGTGTTTTGCCTGCATGTATGTATTTACACCATGTGCATATCTGGTACCTACAAAAAAAGGGAATTAGATTCCCATAAATTAGTGTTATATATGGTTTAAACCACCATGTGAATGCTAGGTACCAGTGTTCTTAACTGCTTAGCCCCCTTATCAAGTAATATTTCTTCATTTTCAGGATAGTGGAAAAACTAGCATTTGATAGTTTTTTCATCAGCATATTTTGTTTTGAATTACTACTAAACAAATTGATGCATCCTGTTTCCTTACTACATTACACTTTCTTGTGTAAGAGTAAGACAAGGACCAGACTGACAGCCTGGTTGATACTGAAGAGTACTGTGAGAAGGAATGACGTAATGCCAAGTTGATAATGCCTGATAGCAGGAGGGAATGTATTCATGTGTGTATTCATGTGATAGTCAGTGATGGTCATGTGAGGGTCATGTGATGGTCATGTGAGGGTCATGTGAGGGTCATATGGTTAAGGTTAGGCAGACTGGAGACCATTCTTATGACTCAAATATTCCACTGTATATATTCTTTTGTTGTCCATCATTCATTCATGAGTAATTTCAGCACATAAAATCTCAGAGAGAAATGTGGGCTCATCTCTCTCATAGATACTGCACTCAGGAAATGTTAACAGAAATGATTCTGAAAAATCATTCTTGCCTCCTCATTAATAATCAACTGCTTGAGGATAGTTTGATATTCTCTAAATATAAGTGTTTATTCAACAGCTATACATAGTTCATGTAATACATATTGATGATGATCTTAAGTCTGTGTGTGCTGCAGATCTTAGTATTTTTACAGAAGGGAAAGTTTCATTCTTTCTTGTACTATTGCATCTCCTCACTCTTTAGAGAATTCAGCCCTTTCCCAAGTTTTATAATGAACATTTCATAATCTCAAATAATTGATGCTAGTCAGAATTTTATACCGAATAATAACTTAGATTAAGTAAAATACTAGATACTAAGTATGCTTAAAGTTGCTGAATTAAAACAGTTTCTATTTTGCATGTCAGAACATTTTTATCTTAAAAAGAAGCCCAGGGAACTATTGTTTTGTAATGTGCTGTTTAGTTAGATAGCATATGAAGTGGATACTTTCAGAGGCCGTCTTTGGAAGCTGCATGTTCCTTGTAACTACTGAGATTACTAAGCCAGGGGGAAGGAGAAGACTTGATCCCAGTGATTCTACAGAAAGCTGCAGTTAACATTGTTCACTTCGAGATGTAGAAACTGAATACAGAACTTGTATTTTCACATTTATTTTTCAAAATACACTGAAACTGAATATTAACATTTCAATATAGATCAGTATCACAAAATGATAGAACTTGCACTAAAAATAATTGAGTTGCTTAAAAATCACAAATATGGTAACTTTGGAAAAATCCTGTGATAATAACAGTCATCCAGGAAAGGGAATGATAATAAATTACTAATCAGTTTAATTAAAAGTGAACAGATTAGTAGTAATTAAGAGAAATCCCCTTTCTCTCCATGCTGTCTTTGGAGAAATGGATGCTTTGCCATTATCTTCATAGTAACCGTCAATTATGACATAAATTAATGCTAATGTTAAATCTTGACAAGTTCTGCTTTGGAATTTCATACATGATAATTATAACTATAGTTGAAAGAGATGTTATCAAGTTGTCTGGGACTAAATAGTTCCTTCTTTTCCTGTGTAAAAATATTAATTTTACTATAGGATATTTTAAAGACATCAATATCAGAAATATATTACTTTTATGAAAGAAATTGTATAGATAGGCTTTTAGAGTTAAATCCATTTATAAAACTATGGTGTAAAAATTCCAGTAGAGGTCTCATATATTCTAATGAATAACTGAGTAATTATTGAAAAAAACTAACTTAGAGAGGCTATAATTTCCAAGTTTGTTTCAACTTGCTCTAAGAATAAGAACCATATTTTAATCTTTTGAGTATTAATGAAGTAGTGGAAGCCTCTGGACTTTGTTTTCAGTGTTTCTCCTAACAAGCTATACTTTTTAAGTTTTATATCTGCCTTTTGTTTTTATAGATATTTTGTCTAGGGTGTACTTTATTTTGCATATAACTTATTTGTCTATGTAACAAAGTCTTAGAATTATAAACTTTTAGAGTTATAAGTTTCCTGTTTTGTTGAAGTCAAGAAAACCAACAGGAATGTAGTGATCCAGTCTATCTCTTCAGTTGCTAGGTAACTGTGAATCTGAAATACATATCTGAAGCTGTTTGTAACATATTTGGTTTTATGACTTGTCTTTTGTCTTCTAGTTTTAAAATGTAACTTTAACTCTTTTCTAGTTTAATATGGTGTAGCTTATCTTTTCTAAAATGATTCACAAATCATATGTAAGTTTTTGTTTAAAGTGTAAATAAAATAATAGTTATTAAAGGATACAAGTTAGTACCGTTTTCTATAGAGTCATAGTTAAGGATCAGTATATTTTTCTCTTTCTCTATTGAGTTGGTGCTGTTTTCTTTCTACATATGTGCTTTCTTCCCACTCTCCTCATTTCAATGGAACCTTTCTTTAAGAAACTTTCTAATGGTGAATCTTTTCAAATTCTTACACTTTGAAATGTCTATATTTTGCTCCACATATTTTACTGAACATTAAATGTGTTTTCTGTGACTCTTCCATAATTATTTTGTGATAAAACATCTCTTTGAAAGCTTTTCCCTGGTTGACGACAATCTTACAGTCTAAGTGAATACCATTTACAATAGAGCAGTCCTCTGGCTCTAGTGACTGGATCAGGAATGGTCTGGCCCTAACAGAACAGAGCCACTGGTGATTGGCAGAATGTAAGCTCTTCCACATGCCTGGAGAAATGTATGACTAGGATCTAGAAATTTAATAGCCTTTTGCCTTTTGCCTTATTTTTTTTTGAAAGGGAAATACTTAGTGTCAGATATGTCAGAGAAAAATTGCAGAGCCATTGGACTTCCAGTGTAAGGATGGATCTGAGAGTCCTCTTTCATTATATGTGATAATTTTCTCTTTTTTTTATTGGATATTTTATTTCAGATGTTATCCCCTTACCCCATTTCCCCTCACTCCCTGCCCAGGAACCCCCTATCCCATTCCCCCTCCTCCTGGTTCTGTGAGGAAGTGCCCCCACCGACCCACCCACCCTCAAATTCCCCCACACTTGGCATCTAGCCTTCATGGGACCAAGGATCTCCTCTCCCACCTATGCCCAACAAGGCCATCCTCCCCTACATATACAGCTGGAGCCATGGGTCCCTCCCTGTGTGCTCCCAGGCTGGTGGGTTAGACCCTGGAAGCTCTGGTTGGTTGGTATTGTTGCTCTCCTCATGGGGCCGCAAAACCCTTCAGCTCTTTCATTCTTCTTTCTATTTTCTCCATTGGGAACCCCTTGGTCAGTTCAATGGTTAGCTGTGAACAGCCACCTCTGAGTATGTCAGACTCTGGTAGACCTCTAAGGAGACAGATAAAGCAGGCTCCTGTCAGCATGCACTTCCTGACATCCACATCAGCGTCTCCCTTTGGTGACTGCACATGGGATGGATACCCAGGTGGAATGGTCCCACACTTTGACTCCATATTTGCTCCCTTGAGTATTTTGTTACTCCTTCTAAGAAGGACTGAAGTACCCATACTTGATCTTCCTTGTTCATGAGCTTCATGTAGTCTGTTAGTTGTATCTTGGGTATTGTGAGCTTCTGGGTTAATATCCAATTATCAATGAATGAATACCATGTGTGTTCTTTTGTGATTGGGTACTCAATTTTCTCCTTTTTAAATTTCATCATGCCTTTTCCCCCACTGCTTGTTCAGAAATTACACCTTGTAGAGTGAATCTTTATCTAACTTCTATTTTCCCAAATAACTTTTGTTTCTGTATCATTTGTAAACATAATATGTCCTTTGGTGGAACAAAAATGAGTTGAACTCCTAATAATATCTCTCTGTGATGTGTATGCTCTGTTTGTGGGAGTGGTAGGGGCCACAAGTTGATATCAGATGTCTTCCTCAATGGCTTCTCTACCTTATTTTTTGACACTGAATCTTTGACTTTGCCTGAAGCTCACTGATTGGACAGAATACAGAATACCTGACTAGCAAGCTCCAATAATCTCCCTTAATAATAGCACTGGGAATACAGGCAAGCTGCTGTATCTGGCTTTTTACTTCCATGCTGGACATCTGAACTCAGTCAGTGCTTGTATCTGTGTTCTCCCCACAAAGCACCATACCCACTGAGCGATGTCCCCCAGCTCCTTTGTGTCTTTTTGTTGTATGTTTTTGAGAGTGCTTCTGGAATCTTTTTTATTTTTGTGTTGAACTTTTTAAAGTCATGTGTCTCCAATAGCTAAGAACTTTATTCATTAATTTTTCTCTTTTCCTAAAGATGACTTTCTTTTTTTGTAGTAGCCCCATTCCCTACATGGTCTTAAAACATAAGGAAGAGATTTTAAATATTATCTGTTGCTCTCTCAACTACTACTGTCTCCTTTGTGTCTCTTTCTCATGTTGAATAAGAATAAGAACAAGAAAAGCTGACTGGGGATATGTTTAGCTTTTCCAGACTCATGTTTGGAACTTGTAATCCTGGAGTGTAGGGAGTAATGGAGCTAGGGAGGCCTCACTTGGCTCCTTAGCCCCGTTGTCTTCCATGAAACAATAGATCACCCTTTTTCTGCTGATTCAGCAGTTATCATTCTGTCATCTGCTTTTCTGCTTTCTGACTCATCAAGTCTAGCGCTCAGAGC